TTTCAATTATGTTTTTTTAGTATTAGAAGTATTTAGGAAAAGATGATCATTATTAAGTTGCAAATTTTGTTGGTTGTACAAGTTTACAGTGTTGTTTTCCCCCATTGTTAAGTCTATTTTGAATATTAGGTTTGGAAATTGATTATTTAGTAATGAACATTGGACAAATCAAGTTATGGCTCTATCTACATATTTAGTTTTGTATCTGTTTTAGTGAGGCTTGATTGATTGATTTAAAAATTACAATATCATTACTACGAGTTCTTGTAGAATTCTTGAAATGTAGCCAGAATCCAAAATGTACTCTACTCGATCTTTAATGTTATGATAGTTGTTCATCTTTTATGTTTTTTACTTACTGGCACTGCTACAACATTATTTAGTTCATAAATAATTGTTGATAACATTCGTATTTTGGTTGACAAGATCAAGGGGGAAACATTTCGAGTTTGATTTCTTGCTACATACAAAGGTCATTGGTTTGGGAAATATTTAAAGATGGTCTATTGTTGTTTAGAGAAAAGGAGATTGGATTGTAAGGATTGTGAAAACAGGTTTATAGTGAAGCTTGGTTGTGATAACTCGTGTGTATAGACTTGTGTTACACAGTGCCTACAGGCACAGATGAGACGGTTAATGACCTGTGAGCATGCTTGGATTACTATAAAAAGTTGTGGGTTCTATAATGTTGTGTTTTTGTGAACACATTTAGTCCTCTCTTTGTTCAATTTAGTTATCCCTTATTCATTATTATGGTCTAGGGGTATGATGGACAGTATTTTTAAAATTTTCTTCAATGATGATTGCAAGTTTATTGACAATCAACTTTTTGTCATGTTGCCTCTCTTTTTCATTAATTGTAATTGAAGTTTTTTTTTTATATACGATCTTTAGGCACTGACAACTGTTTGCGATTTTTTTGTTTGTTATAATACTTTCAGGCATGGACAATTTCTAGTTAAAATATTTAATACAAAAGAGATATGAGGAAAAGAAGATGCAAGGTTGCCTTTAAGGATAAATTAGTCTTACAAACATAACTATGGGGACTATCTAAAGTCGGAATACACTAGAACATTTGGGATAATTTTAGCTAATGTTAGCTAAAAACATTATGGCTTCTAACTTCAGTGTGATGGAAATTGTAATGCTCTAGTTTTCTTGGATGCGTTATCTGATAAATCAACTCAACATCAATATACCAAATATATATCTCCAAATACAGGCCCAAAACCCTAATTACCTTGAAAATAAATAAAAATAATATCCACAATATGTAAATAAATTTGTTTAAATTATATATCACCACTATGAAACCAAAAGTTATAAATCTTCAATTTAATAAAGTTATAACTCTGGTCATTTCCTTTCAAATTATCTTGAAAAATATTCAAAGCGGAGAAGTATATAATATTACAAGAAATAATATGTTCAACGATAACAAAATAATAATGATCAAATACTAAATAAGTTAAATAATAGGAAACATTAACAATGAAATCATCAATCAAATTGGACATGTTACATAGCTCAATTGTTATCAAACATAGTTTTACAAGGGGCATCTCGTGTCTAAAAGTATGGTGCAATATAAGTGAAAAGTGATAGATTTAGAGAGTATTCAATATGAATGATTTTGAAAGAGATAATAATGGCTGTTAGATGAATCTATTTGAAACCGTCAGATGAACTTATTGAAGTCTACTCTATTTTATATTATAGATTATAGATACTCCATTCATCTTTGTGACATAATAAGTGATATTAGAACATATAAATTCATACTCAAGTTAATCAATCACATTCCGCATGGTCATAATCACAATTGCACCATATTTATATACAAAAACAAAGAAAATGTTTGTTAATATCAATTGAGGTTAAAGACTACATCAACTATAAAGCATAGGAGCATCACAAGGAAGTCTAAGTACCAATTATCATTTACATTAGAACTTATGAATATAAAACTCAACCACCAATTCTTGTCACTTTATTTTCTGTCTGAACTATTGCTAAATTCATAGGATTTTTTGACACCCAGAGCGCTAGGAAATAGTTGGTGTGCTTATGAGACATCACGTGACAGAGTTATATGTATACATCACTTAAAAAAAAATTCTACATTCTCAATCAATTGTTAACATTTATGAATTATCATTTTTTTTTTTGAAAAAATCAATTTGTTTGTATCTAATAAGCAAGTGTTGAGATTATTTTCTATTGAATGTAACTATCACTACCGAATATTTTTTGGGATAAAATTGTGCTTTCTAAATTGAAAAATATTATATAATTCAAAACTTAAAACTCAGATGCATATTATTCATTGAATGAGTGTTGGATAAGTAGGTCTCACTGAAAAAATTGATGTGACTCATTCATCTAAGGGGTGATATACATTTAGGTAGGGGTATTCACCCTACCCTGTGGATAGAAAATATAGTCTTTCATCTTCCTATCCCATATTTTGCGGAAGAATTTTTTCTTAACCTACCCTACATTATCAGGTGTGATATTCCTACCTGACTTCCTACCCAATTAATCGGGTAGAAAATTGGGTAAACACTTTATGTAGTTATTAATTTTTGGATCATTTTAACAACACAATAAATCAATAACACTAAAACTTAAAACAAATAAAACACAAAAGCATAAACATCAATCCATCATAATTGTTGCACAAATACAATAAAAATTATTTTAAGTTTAAACCATATGAAACATATTAAAATCATAATTGTTCTAATAAATCATCAGTTCACTACAAATCATGTAACCTACACAAAAAACAAGTTCATATTTTAGCAACTCAAACATCCACAATAATAACAATTTTATAATATAAATTATACCACACAAATACTCTTATAATTACTGAAAACATATAAAAATATAAAAAATATTTTTTGCAGATAGAGTAGGGTAGAAATGCAAAAATTGATGGGCATTCCGCATTACTACCTGATTTAATCGTAAGACCAAAAATTCTTCTGCATTCTTATTCAATTTTTGCGACTAACCGTTTAATAGAATAGGGTAGAAAATTGTTGCCAATAGGAAATTTGAACACTCTTACATTTGGGGTTATAATATTTTGGGTTTTGAGCCTTGTAGCATTGCTCAACTGTGTTGTTCAAATCTTTTTAATAAATCTTATATCTCAAATGATGTGTCAAAAATCTATTCATTGAATATTTGGCAGAGTTAGAGACTTCACTAATCCAACTAGCTACACTGATTTGGAATACAAAATTTGATAAATAATTTAATCAGCATAACATTGCACGAAAGTTATTCAACAATCTACATTGATTTAAAGTACAACATTTAGTAAATAATTTAGTAAGCATAACATTGTTCTCTTCCCAAGTTCTCTCTCTATTAAGCATTAGGCTGAAAATTTTAAAGAGCAAGACATAATTCAATACAATAATTGAATTTACTGTAAGTTTTAATGTTACATGGAGTCCACTTTTAATCCATCAAGTGCGTTAAATCTTCAAATTAAGTCTAAACATCCTAATTTAAAATCTAATTGGAGAATAGAACACAAATTGCATTGAATTAGTGTTTTTAGATTTAATTTCAATGAATTTAAGTGAGTGAATTTGCTAAATCTACCAAATAAATGAATGAATGCTATCAAACTAAACATAAATTTTTTTTGATCAATAAACATAAATTGAACTTGAGCTAGAATAATATTATTTGGATCTAAAAATTTAATTTAATTTAATTTGCTGACATAATTATATAGTTTCATAAGAATTATTGGATCAACACCAATATCTAATATTTGATATAGCCTATAGTCAATTTAAATGTCACAATAAATTAAGCTAATAAATTATATTAATAAATTAAATTTCAATAACATTACACTTAAATTATGTGAAGGCGCCAATATTCTAAATAAATTGGATATATTTTAATAATTTTTTACACGAAATAACTTTTTGTTTTTAATAGACAAAACCACTTTAAAACTTACCTTTCAAAATATAAACGATAGAGAGCCTTATACACACAATACGAAATAACTTAAACACAATACAAATCACACATCTCATCCCCGCCTTTAATTAAGCTCCCTTCAAACCAAAACCGCGCTTGCTTCTAACGCAAAAACGAGTCCATTTTGAAATGGCATGTGTCAGTAGCATCAAATTGAAGAGCAAGAATATAAATTTATATAATAAAATAAAAATATGTTTGAATTTTATTTCAGTCATATTTTTTTCTTCAAAATCATCACTAATTGCTTATCTCACTCATCATCCCTTTGTCAGACTCAAACGTCAAATAGTATTATTTATTTCTATCACATGTTTAATCATTTATATATTTATTTCCTAAAACTATCGCATTATTTATTTTTATCATATATTTAATTATTTAATATTTAATTAATTTATAATTAATATATTTTAAAAAAAATTAATATAATGAGATCAATTTTTTAAATACTTAAATTTTATATTTTATCGTGACTTGCGACACAATTTAGGACTGGTGTATTTATATCTCCTCTTTGCCTACTCCCCATAAGACAACCCCAAATTCTGCAGAGACGCTGTGAGAAGAAAGAACCTTGAGATTGAGAAAGAGAACCAAATCCTTTCCTTAACGTTACACGCCTCCATTACACCCCTCTCTCTCTCTCTCTCTCTCTCTCTGAAATTTTACCTATCTACCTCTCACTTCTCATAAAAACTCTGTTTACTATCACTCTGTCTCTGCATTCTATACATTGAAAAAGCCTCAAACATACCCTGATTCTCCACCTGCATTGATTCTACCCACACCATTTGCTTCATTCCCCACACCCTCATCTTTAAATTCCCACTTTACAGTCGCACACTTACTCAAGAAAAAACAGAGGTAAGAAACAGAGTGTTGCAGAGTGAAAAAACAGGGGAACACAAAGAGAAGCACAGAGGTTTCTCTTTCCTTCGCTTTCTTTTTCCTTTTCCTACCTTTTCTTGGGTCTTTCCATCATGGGTTCTTGTAAAGAAGACAATGGAAATCTACCAAATTGCTTGTGGGTTGAAGGACCTATCATAGTAGGTGCTGGACCATCTGGCCTAGCAGTCTCAGCTTGTCTTAAAGAAAATGGTGTACCTTCTGTTATTCTTGAGAGAAGTGACTGTATAGCTTCTTTATGGCAACAAAAAACCTATGATCGTCTCAAACTCCACCTTCCAAAACAGTTCTGTGAGCTTCCACTTCTAGGTTTCCCGGAAAATTTTCCAAAGTACCCAACTAAGCACCAGTTCATATCATACATGGAATCATATGCCAAACACTTCTCAATTGAGCCTAAGTTCAAGCAAGTGGTACAGAGAGCCGAGTTTGATCAAGTTAGTGGGGTCTGGAGGGTTCAAACTCAAAATTTTGAGTATGTTTCTAGGTGGATAATAGTTGCTACTGGAGAAAATGCTGAACCAAAAATACCAGAAATTCCTGGGAGTGAGAGGTTTGAAGGCCCTGTGGTGCATACAAGTGGGTATAGGTCTGGTTCTGAATTCAAACACCAGAGGGTTTTGGTGGTGGGGTGTGGAAATTCTGGTATGGAAGTTAGCTTAGACCTCTGTAGATACAATGCCAGCCCTCACATGGTGGTTAGAAGTACTGTAAGTACATCTCTCTCTCTCTCTCTCTCTCTCTCTCTATATATATATATATATATATATATGTGTGTGTGTGTGTGTGTGTGTGTGGGTGTGTGTGTGAACTGTGTATTTTGTTTAAATGCAAGTTTCTGCTACATTTTTCATCTGGGTATTTTCTGAAATTAGTGTTTTTCAATGAAAATCACCTATTTTCTTATATTTCTTAAAATTAATTCATGTGGGTAAGTTTCAGATATGCTTACGTTTAGTTCTTTTCCAATAAAGAATAAAGTTTGATATAGGGTTTCTTTATATTCATCTCCTTTTAGCATGAATTAAGAAAATTCTTCTGTAAATTTTCGATTTTGCTAATAACTATCCATTTTTTTGTTATATTCAGATTCATATTCTTCCTAGGGAAATGTTTGGACTATCAACATTTGGAATAGCTATGGCACTGCTCAAATGGATACCTTTAAGATTAGTGGACAAGCTTCTCTTGTTGATGGCAAATTTCACTCTCGGAAACACAGATAGGTTAGGTCTTCACAGGCCCAAGACTGGTCCAATTGAGCTAAAAAATGCCACAGGAAAGACCCCAGTGCTTGATGTTGGAGCTTTATCGCAAATAAAATCCGGAAACATCAAGGTAAGCAAACATGCCCTTGTGTTTTTCACTTTTTTTTTAATCCGTTAAAAGTGCAACTTTTTTCTAATGGAGTTAAGGTTGCAGGTAATGGAAGGTGTGAGAGAGATAACAAGAAAAGGGGCCAAGTTCATGGATGGACAAGAAAGAGAGTTTGATTCTATAATTTTAGCAACTGGGTACAAGAGCAATGTGCCTTCATGGTTCAAGGTATGCATAAGCATGAGCACCTATGATTGCTACTTTCAATCATACTTTTATTTTTTGGATACTTGAAAACCGTCAACGCTTCACTCTAAGATTTTTAGAGATCACTAATAAATCACGCGTATCTGGTCAACCAAAATGCCTCTTAGGAGACTTGAATGTAGAACATGGTGATAGCGTAACATGAGACATCCCTTAGTTAGTTATTAATCACCAATCAACCACGTGCATCAGTCAAAATGGATCTCGACTCAAATGCAGAAACTTGTGATAGCGTAACTAGGGACATTCCTTTGAGACATTCCTTAGTTAGTGATTATGTTTTGCTAGTTTATTGTTTGGTTTTATTATCAATCACATATCGCTTTCACTCTTACATATGCTGTATTGCCCACAAAACGTTTCTTATTCCCCTTTGCAAAAGAGAAAATCTGTGGCATTTGTTTGGATTATCCTCCTACTTTTTAAAAGCTTTTTGTTGGTTTTGATGATGTGTATCTTTCATGACATATTCTGTTTTCTGAGTATGCATTTGCAAAACAACAAACCTAGAAAGTGTTCTTTTTGCTCTCTTCTAGAGAAAGAATCAGATTACAAATGTTATTAGAATTTCACCATATATCACCTATATGTGCACTAAAAGGCAAGCACTCAAGTGAAATTTAAGGTGATTAGAATATACAAGTGTTTATCTATCTAAGTGAAACGACATGGGTTCAAATCCAAAATCAGTTTCTTTAGATTGGAACAAGATAATTTATGAAATTTTTATTTAAGGTGCTCTCGTGAAAGCCCGGGTATAGAATGCCAGTATCAAGAATGCCTATACAATTCTAGTTTGAGGCTTTATCTCTAATCGTGGTGGTTGGTATATAGGAGAACTTTGTATTATACTTGCTTCCTATGTGGTCCACAAATTGGAATGGCTTTATGCTAAGAGTTTTAGTATGGTGTATAAATATTCCAACATGTGATTAAAGTACAGCTTCTGCAAGCTGCTAGACTATGGTAGTACAGGACCTAGTGGTTCTGTAAATTAGGTACCCTAAGAAGTTTTAATGGACTATAGTTTAACCTTTCCTTTCTGAAAAAATGCAGGGGAGTTATTTCTTTAGAGAAAAGGGCATGCCCAAAACATTAGTTTTATTAGAAAATGTATAAAAAGCATGTTTTTGTAAATACGATTTTGTATGAAAAAAGAGTGAAGTCACAAACCATGTTTTTATGTAAACGAAAGTTGTGATTTCGAACACGGGGTTTAACTTTGTGCTTTATGTTTATTTTCTTTCTGAAAATGCAGGGAAGTGATTTCTTCACAGAGGAGGGTATGCCCAAAACACCATTTCCTAGTGGTTGGAAGGGAGAGAATGGGTTGTATGCTGTAGGATTCACCAGAAGAGGACTTCTTGGGACTTCAGCAGATGCCTTCAACATTTCCAGAGACATTGGTGATCAATGGAGGGCACTAAGAGACAGCAACCTACAAAGATAGCCATGGAGATACTTACTGAATTAACAGAAAACAAAAAAATATTTGGGTTAATTATCAGGAGGCGGGTTCGGCTGTCCTGGGATTCCATTCTTCAATCTTTCACCAAGCATAACTCCTGTGTTCATTCTGCTTTTTCTGGTTTTCTTTTAATCTGTAAATTCCACCAATTTTGCATGGAAGTTGCTTGCTCTTCTCTGATCATGTGTCTTTGCTATTTTGTACTATACAGGTTCAGAAATAGAGTTAATGTTCTCTCTTTGTTTTGGCTTTTCAACATTTCAAAAACATAGATGGTGCTAACAGAGAAATCTGAATCATACTCAAGATAAACAATATGTTTGTGATGGCAATTAATGCAACCCACCATTCTGCATATAATTGCTTTAAGAGTAATATGGGATCCAAGCATATAAAAACTCGTTCAAGATCGTTTATTTATCAGATTAATTGGGCACGGCCCAACTCTAAAGTTAGCTTGTTTGGTGAAGGTATAACAAATGAATCTAAATGAGTTTAAGTTTGTACACAAATTTGAGCAAAGTTTAATCTGTGTTTGAATACGATATTCTACTCTCAGCATGATCACAAACTAATCCCAAACACCCTTTGTAAAGGAATGACTCCGTTGTATTTTTACTCAATAAAATCTTGTTATCTTTCTCTTGCCTACTAACCTCAATTTCTCTTTTTAGTTCCTTTCTGTTGTACCTTTATGCTTACATACCTTTGACTGTTTGTTATACTTTTTCTATTTTGATGAGTAATCTATATCATTAAGTAGAATTGAATAATTAAGATCATTTTGATCTAGAGGTTCAAGAACCTAACTTGCAATTCATNTTTAACCTTTCCTTTCTGAAAAAATGCAGGGGAGTTATTTCTTTAGAGAAAAGGGCATGCCCAAAACATTAGTTTTATTAGAAAATGTATAAAAAGCATGTTTTTGTAAATACGATTTTGTATGAAAAAAGAGTGAAGTCACAAACCATGTTTTTATGTAAACGAAAGTTGTGATTTCGAACACGGGGTTTAACTTTGTGCTTTATGTTTATTTTCTTTCTGAAAATGCAGGGAAGTGATTTCTTCACAGAGGAGGGTATGCCCAAAACACCATTTCCTAGTGGTTGGAAGGGAGAGAATGGGTTGTATGCTGTAGGATTCACCAGAAGAGGACTTCTTGGGACTTCAGCAGATGCCTTCAACATTTCCAGAGACATTGGTGATCAATGGAGGGCACTAAGAGACAGCAACCTACAAAGATAGCCATGGAGATACTTACTGAATTAACAGAAAACAAAAAAATATTTGGGTTAATTATCAGGAGGCGGGTTCGGCTGTCCTGGGATTCCATTCTTCAATCTTTCACCAAGCATAACTCCTGTGTTCATTCTGCTTTTTCTGGTTTTCTTTTAATCTGTAAATTCCACCAATTTTGCATGGAAGTTGCTTGCTCTTCTCTGATCATGTGTCTTTGCTATTTTGTACTATACAGGTTCAGAAATAGAGTTAATGTTCTCTCTTTGTTTTGGCTTTTCAACATTTCAAAAACATAGATGGTGCTAACAGAGAAATCTGAATCATACTCAAGATAAACAATATGTTTGTGATGGCAATTAATGCAACCCACCATTCTGCATATAATTGCTTTAAGAGTAATATGGGATCCAAGCATATAAAAACTCGTTCAAGATCGTTTATTTATCAGATTAATTGGGCACGGCCCAACTCTAAAGTTAGCTTGTTTGGTGAAGGTATAACAAATGAATCTAAATGAGTTTAAGTTTGTACACAAATTTGAGCAAAGTTTAATCTGTGTTTGAATACGATATTCTACTCTCAGCATGATCACAAACTAATCCCAAACACCCTTTGTAAAGGAATGACTCCGTTGTATTTTTACTCAATAAAATCTTGTTATCTTTCTCTTGCCTACTAACCTCAATTTCTCTTTTTAGTTCCTTTCTGTTGTACCTTTATGCTTACATACCTTTGATTGTTTGTTATACTTTTTCTATTTTGATGAGTAATCTATCATTAAGTAGAATTGAATAATTAAGATCATTTTGATCTAGAGGTTCAAGAACCTAACTTGCAATTCACGAGAGAGAAAGTAGAATGACCCTTTTGTCCTCCCAAGCTATTTTTTTTGCCAATCAGGGTCAACCCAAGTCAATAATTTTTTTTTTGCCAATTAGATCATGACTACCAAACTTGAGATGGGCTTGAGGAAAAACTTTTAAAACTCACTGTGTGCTGGTGCTGATGCAAGAAAGGTACATAAAAGGTGAAAACTAGACTTAGAAAAACTTTACCATCCTTAGCTTTGCTATAGCAAGGTACAGTTTTCTTACAATGGACAGTCCTCACAGTGGACTAGTTTTGGAATTTCACAGGCGTGTGGTTGTTTTCATCACTTGTATATTTGCAGTTTGATACAGTTATAAAGATTCACAGCAGCATGTGAATAGACAGAATAGTCCACAAGCAACAAAGAGAATCTACATAGGTCATTACTTTTTGAGAGACCAATGCTCTAAAACCCATAAGTTTTGGACCAATTTGGTTCAGGTTTTATATATAATATGAGTTTGATCATGAGTTCCTTATTATTGGTTACTCTTTTCACATACCACATTTGACCTCCCACACACTGGAAAAAAAAAATTCGGTACTATATCTTTATTTATCATATTTATGGATATTTTTATCACTGTCGTGAGTTCACTTGACTCCCAATAAACTTTTATCATTTAAAAATATTGTATGATAATTTTGATAAAAATATTATCGAGAATGTCTTTCTTTACATGTACTATCATACTATTAGTTATTCTTTTATCATTCATTTAGTTACGTAATCGAATTTTTATAAATTTTTAATGTTCCGTTTGGTAGGGAGGATGGAAAGTAGCAGGGATACACTTTCTATCCTTCAAGGATGGAAAGTAGGAAGGATAAATTTTTCGTCCTTTGTGTTTGGTTGGATGGATGGAAAATAAAAATTATTATATTTTTTTTTGTGCGGGCTAAAATTAGGAGTGACAATCGAGTCATGTCATGTCAGATTCGTGTTGAGTCATTACGAGTTTATGTCAAATATTAGTCAATCTTAATTTAACTCATTTAACTAATTGTGTCGTGTCGAGTTACGAGTTGACATGTTTATTTTCATATCGAATTCGAGTCGTGTCATCGTGTTGAGTCAAAATTTTTCACCCTTTGATGGAAAAAATATTTTTTTTTATTTAAAATTTTTATTTTTTATTTTATATTTAAAAAAAAATCTTACATATATACATATTTTACCATTGTATTTTTATATAAAATTAATGTATACATAATATATGTATATATAAAAAGATATATAGACAAATAAAATATATTTCAACACAAATAATTAACTTTTCATCCACTTTCCTTCCGATTTTAGAGGGATTAATTTTGGTGAGTTGGAAGGAAAGTTAATTCATCCACTTTTTCATCCTTCCTACTTTTCTTTCTTATCAAATATGATGTTTTATTTATCCTTCCAACTTTCCATCCTCCCACTTTTTCATCGTACTAAACGGAGTATAAAGGTAAAAATGATATTTTTATAATAAAAATTATCATTAATAAAATCAACGTCAAAGTCACTAATATTCAAACTTATGGATATTCCATGTATTTTTTAGAATTTAGTTGTTTAGTTATAATTCTATTGGAATGGATATATCACAAGAAAATAATAGGATGGGTCTAATGAGATATGTTTAAAAATTATTGAAAACATACACAGATAATGATAACAAAAACAGTATAGGGTAAAATGTTCTCAATGTAATTATAATTTTAACCCCCCAAATTTATTGAATTTGAAATAAATACACAATGTGGAGAAAACTAGTGTGCTTGAGGCAAATATGATCTCACAACGTCCTAAATGCTCGCTATCAAGTGGCAATGCACTAGGAGTGATTGTAAAAATGCTAAAGATCTCAGTATAATTTTTCAAACAAAAAGGAGTTTATATGATGAAACACAAACCTAAGGAGGCTAAAGATATAATTATTTAATTTTTTTTAAAATCAATTATTATCAATTTATTTTATTATTTTACAATCAATTATTATAAACTAATCAAATTAAAATATGTGACTCTCAATCAATTTCAATATGATATGTATATATTTTCTTTTGGTTAGAATATACTTTCTCTAATTAATTTATGTAATAAAGTACAATATAATTCAAATTTCAAAAGAAAAATAAATTGACTGTTTTTCGTAGTTAAGATCTTTTTATATTTACTTTAAAATTAATCTGACAGTTAATATTAACTTGCTAAATTAAATAGGAAAAATAGGTCACTTAGGATGTATTTCAAGTAACTTTAAAAAATGTTTATATGATTTATAACTTCTCATAAGTACTTGAAAAAAAAAAGTGTTTAGAATTGTCCCATCATTACCACTATCCCCCACCACCATCGTCTTTCCACCACCAGAACTCCCCCCGCCATTACTATCGTCGACGTCGTTGTCGTCACCCCCGCCACCACCTCTTCCACAATAACCACCATCACCACTATCGACACCCCACCACAACCACCACACCCACCACCCAACCACTATCACCACCGTCACCCTACCGCCCCGCCACCACCCCCCACCACCACGACTTCCACCATTGCCACTGTCACCTTACCACCCATCGTCACTATACCACCATCACCCCTACCACCACCATCACAATTATCACTCACGATTGCCACCATCACCACCAGTTGTCGTCACCTATTACAACCATCATCATCTCCCATCACCACTATCACTGCTCGCTCCTCACTACAATCGGTGCTTAAAATTCTTTCTCGCTCATCTATCTTTGTAATTTGATTTTTGGTGTGAATACAAATATATTTATTGTTGACTGTTTTTTTATTACTTTGTGCCATCAGGCACGGGAATTAACTAGTTTATATAATAAAGTACAATACAATTCAAATTTCAAAAGATAAATAAAATAATTTTTATTTTTCGCAATTGAAATCTCTTTAAATTTTATTTTAAAATAAATCCAACTGCAAATATTAACACCTCAAATTTAATGGGAAAAAATAGACTCTTAAATGTATATTTGGAGAGACTTTTTAAAATTGTTTCTAGAACTTATAATTTCTCATAAGTACTTTAAAAAAAATAGTGTTTGAAACCGTCCCACCGTTACCACTACCACCATCACCACCACCCTCACCGCCCCACCATAATCACCACCACCATCGTCGCCGCCACCCCACCCCCACTACCCCCACCACCTCTGCCACAACAACTATCACCACCAATACTATTGTCACCCCACCGCCACCATACTCATTGCCCCACCACCACCATTACCACTATCATCACCCCCCGCCACCTTACCACCACCCCCACAACTATCACCACCACCGACGCCACCCCACGTTCACCTTCATTCCCACTACCACTGTCGCTAGCCTACCACCACCATCATTATCCCACCATGACCCTTACCATGACCAGCGTTGCCTTCAACTTACCACTATCGTCATTATCCCACCATCATCCCTTACCACTTCCATCGCCCCACCATCACTATCATTGTTGCCACCCACGATTGCCACCATCAGCAACGGTCATCGTCACCCACCACAACAATCACCGTCTCCCACCACAACTAGTACTGTCCATCACTATTTCCACTGCTCATTTTTATCATAACTGGTGTTTAAATTCTTTTCTCTCTCTTCTATATTTATGATTTGATTTTGGATGAGAATTCAAATATATTTATCGTTGACTATTTTTTTTATTACTCCGTACTTTCAAACACAAGAAATAACTAGTTACTAAATATTGTATACTTAAACACAACTGCCATGCTAAGACAGTAAATAATTTTTTAAATTAATGTTATTTGAATTTAATTTAATAACTTAATTTATTATTAATTATTAAATTAATAATAAATTTTAATATTAAATAAGTCTAATGTCAATTTAATAATTATAATAGATTAAATTGATAAATTAAATTAAAGCACTCAACATCCCCTCCCCCGTTTTAAGGTGTCATCACTCTTACCCTTTTCACTTGAAGTCTCTCTATCTCTCTCTCTCTCTCTCTCTGAGAGGCTGATTATTGAGACAATGATGGGGCTCTGAGCATCATTGTACGATTTCTCAGAATGGATTGAACACCTCCGAAACCCTCCAATCTTCTGCTGATGCAAGAATCTCCACAGTCCACATTCTTTCTCTCTTT